ACAGCCTTGCAGGAGTGGGAGGGATATCATGACCGGCACCATTCGACTTCGGAACACTGTGTGGGGGCAGTAGTGGTTAATATCAGCACCCCTAGCATCAGCTCGGGTTGTTCACAAAAAAAAAAAAAAAAGAAAAAAAAAAAAAAAGAAAGAGACTTTGTTCCTGTGGCTAAGGGTGCCTGTTGGAGGCCGTGTATGCATGGCAGGGCCTGAAGCCCTTTTTTTTTCTTTCTTTTTTTAAGAAAATCTATTTGTGGGGAGCAGCACGTGCTGGGAACCGGGCCCAGCATACCATCTAAAGCATGAACAGAAACATGAACAGAACAGGTCCATCAAAAGTCCTCAACTGTCGGAACTCACTGACTGCGCAGGTACTGCAAACAGAAAACGACCAAGCCACTTGCCATTTTGCTACTACTGCTGGCCCCTGGTTCCCTCCTGATCCCCTCCCCCTTCCCCTCAGACTAAGGGTTGGACCCCACAGCTGCGCGGACGATTTCCGTTCTTCCCACAGCCGACGACAATTTTCCTTCGCCAGCGGAGAGGCAGAGTTGGAGGGGATCCCACCGTGCCCGTTTTTTTTTTCCATCCCCAGTGGGTTTGGTTTCCCGAAGAGGAAAGTGGCAGAGGACTTTCCAATTCGGGCAAGGCGTTCTGGGCGTGCGGTGAGGGCAGTTGTGGACCTGGGTACAGGACGCCATTCCGCGCGGCTGTCCTTGGGCGACGTTGTGTGGCGTGCGGCATCGGTGGTGGGGCAGCACCCCGCAGAAGTCGTCGACTTCGGTTGGGGAACACATGCAGCCCTTTTGCGACCATTGGTAAGGGCCGTTGTGGGCCGGTTGGTCCAGGGGACATTTCGACCGTTGTCGACCTCCTTGTTTGTATCCACGGTGCAACCGCGGGATTCCACGGTCCCACCTGGGAAAGGGCGAAGGCGATGTGGGGCACAGTGAGCATGCTCTCTCGGACTCCGTGCCTGTTTCGGGCAACGCACCAGTGTTTGTCACACTCGATATGTTCACCATAGCCGGTCCTTGTTGAAGGTCCCGCCTGCAGACTGGGGTATCGCCGCTGTCATGCTTGTCTCTGTCGCCTGCGACATTGCCCTGTGTTGTGGCGGGAGGAGGTTGTGCGCCATTGTGGAGGCCATGGACTGCGGCGTGGAAGATGTTGGGGACTGGGCAGGGCGAGGTGTGGTAGGCGACAACGTGGTTAACACGACGACCATTTGTTCATGGTTGTTTTTATTGTTATACAGTTGGTGATGCAGCGGAACAGGGCGGCTCTTGCTGTTCTTAATGCATTGGCATCATCCTGTTCGGCTGCACACCCTGAAATGGGAGAGGTTCTTCTGCTCCTCGCTGGGGGCTTCCTGCACAGCGTTTCCCTTGTGTCCGCCGCCATGGACAGCGTGAACCGACGTCGTCGACGATCTAGGAGTACGTGGGTTCTGGACCGCCACGGCGGGACGTGGAAAGATCTACAAAAGGTCGGCGAGGCTCATGACAAGGTCTTCGTCTGGTTCCGCAGACTCCCTCGACCACTCTCCTATGAAGTTGCACAACGAATAGCGGCGATTATAGCACCACACATTCAGCGGAAGTTGACGAGCTGGAGACAGCCAATTTTAGTTGCACAGAAGTTCGCGTGCGCGTTGATCAAATGGGCCACAAGAGGCTATTACCGGCAAACGAGCCATGGGATGGGGATGGGGATGGGGCTGGCGAGTGCGTTAAGGAGTAACGAGGATGTTGCGGACGCCCTCATCAAGGAGTACGGCCACCTCATAAGCTTCCCAGAAGGTCGCCATCTGCAGGAGGTGATGGATGCATTTGAGAGGAAAGGATTCCCAGGGTGCGTGGGTGCAATCGATGGCACACATCTATACATCGAAAAGCCAAAGAATGAGCGGGCGGAATGCTACTACGACCACACGAGGCAGTTCTCGCTTGTGGCGCAAGTGGTTTGCGATCATAAGTGCAAGATCCATGATGTTTTCGTGGGTTGCCCTGGATCGGTGCATGACTCACGTGTCGTTCGCATATCACACCTCTATAGGAATGCGCAGGACGGGCGTGGGATGCTCCATGGTGGCACATCCTTTCTTCATGACGACACACATGTTCCGCCGCTACGTTCTCGGGGACGCAGGGTACCCATTGCTGCCTTGGCTGATGACACCGGTTGGAGGAGACGAGCGCAACCCCTGGAGACGAGCATGATCTGCGTCGTAGACACAATCGGGAAAGGACAACGGCATGCTCTCTCTCTCTCTCTCACACACACACACACACACATACACACACACACACCGTCTCTCTCACTCTCACGGTCTCACACACACACACACACACAAATAGACAAATAGGAAGAAGAAAGGTAGATATATAGACAGGAAGATAGATAGGTAGATAGAAAGATAGGTAGATAGATAGATAGATAGGTAGATAGATAGATAGATATATCGATAGATTGACAGATAGTCAGACAGGTAGATAGAATCAATTTATCTACCTGTTTATCTATCTATCTATCTATCTATCTATCTATCTATCTATCTATCTATCTATCTATCTATCTATCTATCTATCTATCTATCTATCTATCTGTCTATCTGTCTATCTATCTATCTATCTATTTATCTACCTATCTTTCTTTCTACCTATCTACCTACCTGTCTATTTAACCACCATCCTTCTACCTATCTATTTGACTATTTGTCCACCCATCTATCTATCCACCGATCTATCTATCTACCTATCTACCTATCTATTTGTCTATCCACCTGTCTACCCATGGAGCGTCTTTAATGCACATGTGCACGGACATGCGCGTTTGTCGAAATCAGTCAGCCAATCTGCCCAGCACGGAGGTGGCACATGCAAACAAGATGTTATGTATTCATCAATAATTTGACTTGCCACCATTCCACTGATATTTGTCTGAAATCGCTTTCTCACCGTGTGGTAGTCGGGTTTTTTTTCCCTTTTTTTTTTTATTTGCCTTTCACAGTGTTAGCGGGACATGATGTGAATGTCTTCGAAACTCCTAGGAAATGAAATGTCTTTCACATTGGTTGTCATTCCCATTCGTGATGTGAATGTCATTCGTCATGTGAAATCTTTGGTAATACGACCAAGAAACAGGCGGTTATGCAGGCGGATATTGCAGAAAATTTATCATCATATTCAATCGTTTATGAATGGCAAAAGCAGACATAAAAAAAATGAAGACGTATATACATATCCACAAACAAATGGACATGTTGAGGACGAATGACAAGCCAAAAAACGACACTGTTTCCAAAGTTCATAAATATGACAAAAACAGATGGCATGAAAAGGAAAAAGGCCATACACACACATCCGCACACAATCATTGCCGCACCAATTACAAACCAACACATGACCGAAAAAAATCAATTATCGAAACAATGATGTATCCATAAACGGTGATGATTGCCGAATTGTTTTCCTTCTTCCACTCCCTTCTCACAATCATCCCGAAAAAGGGCGCTCGAAGCAGCATCTGACATCATTAACGGCCTCAACAACCGTTGTTCCTCACACGATGACTACCCGTCTATACATCCAGCGGTGCACCGTCAGACCATGCTTCGCACGTGGTCGTCATGACGCCCATGCCGGCGAAACAACAATCAGACGAGCATGTGACGATTGGTTATCGTCATGGCACGAACACACACACACACACACACACATGTTAAGTTCAAAATACATGATGTTAGGGACATGACACGTCGGCGGTCGACCACGATCCCCCTCGCCCGCCCTGGAAAAAAAACGAAAAAAAATGTAAGAAATCGACGGCCGACAGATCACCGAAGAAGCGGACGCTGGTGACAAAAATGCGGACGTGGCAGCATATCATGTCATTATCGTGTGGGGGTTCTCCTCCCTTTTGCTCTACCATGTGATCGCCCAACCGCTCCACACCCAACATGCAGATGGGCGAAACATGTCGTAGCCCAGCATGCAAATGCGGCAGCATATCATATCATGATCGTGTGGGGGTTCTTCTCCCTTATGAGTTGTCGTGTCATCGTGCAACCGCTCCACACCCAACATGAAGATTCGCGAATCGTCGTCCAAGCAAGTGTGCAGCCCACGCAATGCGCAACCCCTGCATCCTCACGACCTTCGTGCATGACGCGCTCCCATCCAATCTTCCCTGATGCTTCACCGACGGTTATGCAACACTCCCCTTCACCCTCACCACCGCCGACGCGCAGCCTTCAGATCGTCTTCTGGGCACCACGACTGCACAGCGTCGTGCAAGTACTGCCTATCCCGGAGAGGTGGCTTCATGTTTGCCACGTAAGAGGCATTGCTATGAAGCGCTGCCACGTGTTCATCAGCTATGGCGGACACCAGGTATCTAACGATGTCGCCGATGACATCACGTTCTGGGAGACGTCCCTCGTCGGGGACGACTTCTAATAGCTTCTTCACGTTGAGGATGATGTCCACCAAGTTCTCTTCCTAGTCGTACCCGAAACCGCCATCGATCTTCATCGCCAGAGTGGCAGAGTCCCTTCCACGAGTATATAGTATACACGACTGTGGAGAGTCCACCTTCGTTTCGTGGACGACGATGGTTTTCCCACCCACCACCTCCCGCACCACCTCGTTGACCTCCGCCATTTCTCTCTCTCTCTCTCTCTCTCTCTCTCTCTCTCTCTCTCTCTCTCTCTCTCTCTCTCTCTCTCTCTCCGAGTGATGTGCACACGTACACGGAAGGTAGATTCGACTCCCGTCAGCACAACAGTTACCTCGCATAGAGACAACCACATACGATCACATGTCGTCACTGTGTGCAAACCCTGCATTTATAGCTTCGGACGGGGGCAAAAGATCCCGCCAACACTCGGAGTTTCATGATCACTCTCCCCCCCCGTCTCATCAGACTGGCCACCATGGTGGATGATCAGACTTGACACGCCCCCTTCCCTTCATTGGGAATACGAAAATGCACCACCAGCGATGAATGTGATAACCCTTTTTTTCTTTTTCTTTTTTTCTTCTTCTGCAATATTGTTTTTCTTCTACTTCCCCAAAATTCTTTCCTACCTTGTAATATTTCTTAGCAGCCTGTTCAGTATCCACCACTTTGAAGGATCGGTGCCCCTACCCCACCCAGTACTCCGTGGTCCGCCCGAATTCCGGGCACCCATCACACCAACCAGGAGTTGCAGCACAACGTTCCCTTCACCCATGGCTGATGCGACTGCACCTATCTGCGTCGCCATTTCCCCTATGCTCCCGGCGACGATGGTGGCACCTTCCTTGTTCACCTGAGCAATCGTCGCCGCGGCCCTATCCAAACCGTCCACGTACACACGTGTGGACTCAGCCATGGCAGCTCCCACAGACGAGACGGAAGAAGGGTCATCTCCAACATGGACTTTGCTGCCGCCGGTTCGCCTCAACTTGGAACTGGTGCCCTGCGTGTTGGACCCTCCTTTGTCCGACTCTCCTTGCTCACCCGAACCTCCCCCTTTGCCTCTTGCTTCACCTCCACCCATGGTGTCCGAGTTCATGGCTTCTTCACACGTCCCATACGGTCTTTTTAACACCCACTCCATCGCCTGCCACATACATTGATTGAACGTTTCGTAAAGACCTTCTGCCTCTATCTCCTCTTCGGTCATGTCCCAATAGGATTGATGGCCCCACCGCCTCACCTTGTCTACAAACAGTTTCAGCTTCTGTCCAAGGTTAAACCATTTTTTCCTGCAGTCCTCGGTGGACCTCATCATCCCTTCCTCTTTCATGCGGTTGGACACCCACTCTTGCCTCTCCCCTTTCTTCATACACTTGTGCCTGGTGGTGGCATCCACCATCATGGCGTCATCCTCACGTTGCTGTTTGGCCAACGCCAAGCACTCCTCTAGTGTCCAAGGCACTATCTTTTTCGCAGGACTTTTTCCTTTACGCCTCCCGTCCTTAACTGGTGGAGGGTTGTCATTGGTCTCCTGCCCACCCAGGTCCTTTCCACTCCCACTCGCCTCCCAACGACATGCAGCTGGTGGAATACACCCTCCTCTGCTACGTCCTCCCCCTGCTGGCTGTCTTGCCCAACCACCGCCTCCGCTGCTGTCACTTGTGCCCTCTCGCCCCTGACCTCGCCCCCTTCCATCACCACGGCTGGCCGGTGGCAAGCCGCCACACAGACGATCCACGGACTCGGACGACCTCGCGTCGCCTGTGACCTGCTGGGGGGCTGCATGAGAGCACTCTTGCCTTTCACGGACTCCACTGTCACTGTTCGTATCCACCCCTGTCGTTGCATGTAACTGCCCATGCACCGACGTTCCTCCCTGTGGCAATGTTGGGACCCCACTCCCGTTCTGTGCCTCACATCCGAAGTTGTTTTGTCCATGGCCGTACACTCCGTCATTCCACTGCTGGTTGGATGGCACCCCGTAAGACCGTTGTGTTCCTGATAGATCGTCCACTTACACCCGTGTACAGTGGCCGTCGGAGAATGGCTCCTCGTACTCCCCGCACAGCGCCGCTGTGAAACTGCCTTCAGGGGCCGTGCTGGGCCCGTGCACGGCCATGTCCGTGGTGGTCGGTTGTGAGTACACAGCGGCAGACAGACTGTCGCGCCCGACCCCGCCTCCATGTGCGGATTCATGGTAGAAAGGTACATAACCCGATCGCACATCTCGAAGGTCGGGTGGATCGTTCCTCCATGCCGACAGTTGCCCAACAGCTGGGGGGAAGGGAGGAGGGACACCGAACTTGTTAGTGTCCTGACTCAGCATGGACAAGGTGGATGACAGAATGGAGTGCAAGCCTTGATACGTCGGCGAATGTTGGGAACCGTGGCAAGAACCTTCCATACCTCGGTTTTCATCGTCCTGGACCAAATGTCGTTTGTCCATGCTGGCAAAGCGGATGACAATGCAAAAACACCATGAGTCCATGACCTTCGTCCCCTACGAGAAACGCCGAAACGGACGAAAAAAGTGACGCAAAAGGCGATAGCAAGGAGGACAACAACACAGGCTAGGAAGATGGCAATAACAAGGATGACCGACAACCCTAGCATGAAGAGGATTGTCGGATAAAGGAAGATGCAAGGAGTACGGACACCTCCGGAGCTTGTTGTCCTACTGCAGCAGCAACAGATATGACCTCTGCTTCCAAGCAGGTTGATCCCCGACGCCTCTACCGTCGTCACTGCCGCGGACACACGTGGGTGCACGGTCGTCGGCTCTTACGCTGCTGAACCGGTTGCGGGCAGAAACTGACGTGGCCGGAGGACACCTCGGTACAGAACCCGAGACTGGGAAACCGGGAGATGACACCGGCCAATGGCTGATGCGGACTGCACAAGGAGCCTGCAACGTGGCACACCTGCAGGTGATGTCTTCGTCCGTCGCAAGAGGAGGACGCCCCTGATGACGATGTGCCCACCTACCTCACTGCAGATGGCGGGGACTCGGGCAGCCACATTCGGCAGACCACCGGCGCGCACGCCGGCTTTGTTGCTCGTACTATTGCAAATTGGTGGAAGCAGTTGATGTCCAACGTACGCCCCGCAAGCTGCTCCTGCAGCCCGGCGATGGAGAGAGTGCGGTGACAGGGCTGCTAGGATTGCATGGACCCTTGATGTCCCTTCCTTGTTTTCTGTTTTTTTTTTGTTCTGTTGCCGATCACGTGGTGTACAATCCATTTCGAAATCCTAACGCCCACCAAACCCGCCCTGCCTCCCATCGAATTTTGAATTTTTGAATTTTTTTTTTTTTTTTTTTTTTTTTTTAACTTCGTATATGGGAAACCTACTGAGCGAGGTGATAAGAGCATCCCTGGTAAGTAGGCCCCAGCGTCGAAGGCTCCATCTATTGGTGGGGAGCTACACCTGCTGGAAATCGTGTCCAGCGTCCCTATACAAATGATGAAAATATATCTGTTGGAAATCAGGTTCAGCGTCCTTGTCCCATGGTGTGAATGTATGCGCTGGAAAACAAGTCCAGCGTCCCTATCGATCTTGTCTGTAGAACCTCGCAAACAAAACGAGACATCAATCCTATCAGGTGAAACCCTAATCATGATGTAATGTGTATTACAGCAATGTGCCCAGCGACCCTATCCAAACGATGAAAATATATCTGCTGGAAATCAGGTCCAGCGTCCTTGTGCCATATTGTGAATGTATGTGCTGGAAAAATAGTCCAGCGTCCCTATCGATCTGATCTATAGAGCCTCGCAAACGAAATGAGACATCAATCCTATCAGACGAAACCCTAATCATGATGTAATGTGTATGGCAGCAATGTGACTTGTATCTGCTGGAAATCGGGTCCAGCATCCCTATACCATATCGTGTACCAATATCCAAGAGTCAGAAGCAAATCAAAACCTGAGGGACGACCCACCCCCTCCTCCAATGAGGTGGCGGACCAGGCAACCCCACCCAACCAAGGGGGCGGGGAGACTCAACTATCCTATTGCAATCCGATGCCAGCCAAGGGAGAGCAAGCGATGGTAGGGTTTGAGGTAGGGGGAAAATATCAATCCATTTCTTCCAAACCCAATCCCCCCTATCCACCTCAGCCAATCCCCTCCCCTCTGCCCCTGTACAGCTGATAAAAGCGGATGCACTCACCTTGCTGCTGAGCATGCTACTGACACAATCTCCGCTATCAATGCTGAATCCGACGTTGAGACTACCATTATAGTTATCGTTGTTGTATCGTCCTCCCCTCTCTTCCCCACTGTTCCCGTGGTTGTCGTTGCCTCCATCGTTTCGATTGTTGTTGATCATGTTGCTTTTGTTGTTGTTGTTGTTGTTGTTGTTGTTGTTGTTGTTGTTGTTGTTGTTGTTGTTGGTGTTGTTGGTGTTGTTGTTGTTGTTGTTGTTGGCGTTGTTGTCGTTATTGTTCTCGCCATCGTTATTGATGTTGTTGTCATCCTTCACACCCCCTTCGCCCATTTCATGCAAACCCAATCCCTGTGCACCATCGTTTTTGTTGTTGTTGCTGTAGTTGTTGTTGTTGTTGTAGTTGTTGTTGTTGTTGTTGTTGTTGTTGTTGTTGTTGACGTCTCCATTGTCTTCCGCGTTCACCTGCACTATCACTCCCGTCATGCTGCAGCGGTGGACGCCCCCCCCCCCCATCACCACTCTCTTCCCCGCTGTTCCCGTGGTTGTCGTACCCTCCATCAGGTTGTTGTTGTTGTTGTTGCTGTTGTTGTTGTTGTTGTTGTTGTTGTTGTTGTTGTTGTCATTGTTGTTGTTGCTGTTGTTGTTGTTGTTGTTGTTGTTGTTGTTGTTGTTGCTGTTGTTGTTGTTGTGGTTGTTGTTGTTGTTGTTGGCATTGTCTTCTTTGTTGTTCTCGCCATCATTGTCGAGGTTACTGTCATCCTTCACACCCCATTTGCCCATTTCGCCCAATCCCAATCCCTGCGCACCATCATTTTTATTGTTGCTGTTGTAGATGATATTGTTGATATTGTTGTTGTTGTTGTTGTTGTTGTTGTTGTTGTTGACGTCTCCATTATGAGCCGACGCGCGCCTTTTTTTTTGTTTTGTTTGCCCTTTTTTTTCCGCCGCCTTCACCTCCCAAACGAGCCTGGACGACCCCCTGCAACCGTACCTGCAGCGGGAAGGGAGCCTGGATGACCCCAACGCAAGATGTTGGACCATTCATCGGCCTATGACGGGTCGTTCTCGGTAACCCCACCAAAAAAAAAAAAAAAAAAAAGACAACGGGGACGCCTTCCTCTTGTGTGACACACACTTCTTGTCCGCTCACGGCTGTGGTTCACCTGCTTGGACCACGGGGAGTCCGCCCACGAACGCCGTCCCCAACCCTCTGTCGGCGTCGGAGGACATACGCCCCCCCTGCCCTTCCGTCCCCACCGGGAAGTGCTGTCGCCAGGGGGTACCAAGGGCCCGCGGGCAGAGTGGAAACACTCCTCCTATGTTTCCAAACACCGAATCCGCTCGGTGTGGGGTCTTGCCAAAGCGGTTTTGGAAACAATAATTCTTTCCGCGCGACTGTGGGGTCCAACCCTAAACCAAACCACTGCCTATCTACCAAGGACCGGGGAGGTGGGGGGAATGGGTTGGGAAATTCGGATGGGGGACACAGTGGGATTAAGGGGTCGACTTCTGTCCAGTTATTGAAGCAAAGCTTGTAGTCCCTGTTGAGCTACTCCTGCTCCCCCTCACTCCCCTCCCCTGCCCATTCCACCCTTGCAACCCAACCCCCTGTGTTTCCCCCCAGGCAGTTGTTGCAGAACTGTTTAATTTTGAATGTGATTTCTTGCCTTTTTTTTTTTTATTATTATCAAAAACGACATGCTCCAATCTATTCGTGGGGAGTGGCACGTGCTGGGAACCGGGCCCAACAAACGGCTTCGGGGCTAAGAATGATAACTATGCGATCTACACAAGAACATTGAATTTCTCTAACCCCAAACCATCGATCCAAGGACCCCTATCAGGTACGCATGTTGCTAGGCCATCGCGAGCGAGAGCGTGACTTAGCGCTGCATGGTGTGTGCGCCTACGATGTTGCTATGGCAGCAAGCAAGTGGCGCGACAAAGGCGGCGTGGAAGTGGCGAGGCGCTGGCCACGGATGGACGGCGAGGTGCTGGCTGCTAGCAGGCGACGAGGCACTGGCTTCCTACAGGTGGCGAGGCGCTGGTCACAAGAGAGTAGCGCGGTGCTGGCTTTTCACATGTGGCGAGGCGCTGGTGGCTTGCACGCGGCGGGTTGCTGGCTGCTTGTGGGAGATGCGAGTGCCGATGCGGCATGAGCACCCAAAAGCTGAGTGAGTGGCATACGACAGAAGTGGTGAAGTGGTCAGAGTGAGCGCTTAATGCACGCGTGGAAACCAGAGGCACTAGGCCAAGCCACGTCACGGGCTGACGAGGCATCTGGTCTAAGTCACAGTGGCGAGGGGAGAGTAGTGGTGGTGGCGGCTGCTTGAACAGTCTCTCTGTGACTTCCACACAAAGTACTCCACAGCTAACGCCCCTTTAGGAGGCTGTAATGCTCAAGCGAGTTGGTGCAATGCCAATGTCAGTGGAAGAAAGTGGAGTTCGCCCCATGGAGACCGAAGTGCTTGGACTTCGCTTGTCTACGTCATCACAGCGCTGGCCCGCATTCTCAGGTGGAAGATCATCAAGGAGTCATCATCAAGGGAGCTGCTCATTTTTGTTTTTTTTTATTGTTTCTCTTGTGCAGGTTATCCATCAAGACCATCAAGATTATCATCATTGTCATCTCTGCGGGGAATCATCATCCGGAGTCGTTCATACTAAAGTGTATCAATTCATAATTCTTCATTATGGGTCAATGGGTCATCATTTTCATTGGCCATTATCTTCCTACTAATCACTGTCATCTTCTTTTATCATTATAGCAATAGTGAGCTGTCAATTTTCCACACCGGTGTCATTAGGGTATCGCAAGTTCAAACGTTCCTTGTTTATTTCTCGCCTATTTTATTTCATCATCATCATCATCATCATCATCGAAGTTTCTTTATTCGTTTTTTCATCAATCAGTAGATATCTCTGTGTTGGTGGTTATATTCTCTTCGCCCAGATAGGTTATGGTCTAGTTGGTAGGTAGGTCGGTCAGGAAGGGAGCGCTACTCCGCAGGGGTAACACAAGGTGGGAGGTGATTTCCCTCTAGGGAGTAGACGCAGATGATGGGAGCTGACCTGGGCTGGGGATGGGAGATATGTCTGGGGGCACATTATATCCTGGCGGAGGCAGACTAGGTCAGAGTGTCAGATTTGAGGTACACCTTTTGGGGGAACTGGTTACTTCAAGGCAGAAGGGAATGGGGAGGATATCTCTCTCATTGGGGCTGATAGGAACTTCATATTGATAGTGGGGTTCAGATCAGTGGAGGCAGCGAGAGGAGAACAGGAGAACAAGAAACGAGGGGAGAGGAGGAGAGCACATGGAGGAGGGGGAGGGGTGGAGAGGAATAGTCATCAGCATCCTCATTATTATCCAACAATTTAGTGATCATCTCAAGGTACGGGTCAAATTTCATCATCAGAAAGGTTTTTTATCAGGATTCTGATATTATCAGATCCTAGATTTCTAGTTGGCATTCTAGCTTAGCTAATTTCCTAATTGAGCCTTTTTGTGTAATGGCCAGGTTGAGTTGGCGCTAGAACGACGCTGGCCGGCGATGGGGCGGTGCCCTGTAACCTGCTTTAGTAGGAGCTTGAGGCTTTGTATAAAGGTTTGGGATTGCCGAGGGAGGAAGGTGATCTGCAAACTTGACTAATGGCTACAATCTTGCCGACGATGGTCGGAGATGGGGTGGGTAGCGCTGCCTGTAACCGAGCCAGAATGGGGTGTGAGACCAGGAAGAGGTCTGATTGGTGCACAACACATGCTCAGTGTGATTAGTTGGTTGGAATGGATACAGGAATTTAGGGATAGGATAGTATTTGAGTGTTGGCTAGACAATCATTCTGATTAGTCATCATCTATCTCTATTTCATGATCTCAATCATCCACTCTATCATCCTGAATCATCCTATATCATCCTAAATGATCCTCAATCATCCTTAATTATCATCAATGATCATCAATGATCATCAATGATCATCAATCATGAATGTATTTCCATTATAAGGGACGCTGGGCCCAGTTCCCAGCACGTGCTACTTAAAAAAAAAAAAAAAAAAAAAAAAAAAAACATCGATCCAAGGAGCATTCAGACCGAAAGCCACCTGCCTTAGAGCCTTTCAGCAGCCCAACCCTACCTGCCTCAACCCTATATCTTGATACCCAGTCTCTACCAGGCCTCACGCCCCCAACTGCTAGGTTACAGGGTGGCACAACCCACCCCGGAAGACCCCTACCGGCTAGGCTACAGGGCAAAACAACCCGCCCCGGCTCCGGCCAGCATCGACTAGGTACCAGCTCACCAAGAGACACTAGAGTGCCTTCCACCCTCGACAACTCCCCAGATCTCTCTACCGGGTCTCATGCCCTCGTACAACTCGAATCACAGGGCAGTGCGACCAAGCCCCAACACCAACCAGCGTCGTTCAGGCCTCGTGACCTCATCTATTCACAAACCACCGGGACCCAGGACTTCAACAGTTACCAGACAAACCACCAATCAGCGTCATAGTTGTGACTCCGATCATCCAGCTCCTTCAGGCGCTGGTTGCAGGTATCCCACAGAACAACCCTCTCAACCCTTCTCTGGCAAGTCTTATCTCGATGAAGCCACCGTCTTCACTGGTGTTGTACCCTATTTCCACCCCACAGGGTAGCCCCTTCGCCGCAGAGCGTGTTATCTCCCACCATCGCAACCACCACAACCCCCTGCCACTAGCACCAAACTTTGAAGAATTTTTGGATTGGAAATTCGAGAAATAAGCAATTCGGAAAAATCAGATGCATATTTCAGCGCCTAATAATCCCACAAGAAGAGGGGAAGGGAGGGAAAAACCATCCTCTCTCCCCATGGAAACTCCCAACATCTATTCAAGTCTCAGTTGCATGTAAAGGGCTCACAAGAATTCTTTTTTATAAGTAGTCATAAAACAGCCTCGAAGGGGCTAATGGGAAAATCCACATATCTATGCAAAACTAGATTCAAATGGCCTAATGAGTAGAACCACAAAACTTATTAACAACTTAAGTCACTCAGGAGCCTGTAACCCAGAACCTAACTCGGATGCAACTCAGTGGCCCAAACCCTCAGCCTCCCTAACATCCTACCTCGTTACCAAGCCTTAACCAGGCCTCACACCCCCATCTGCCAGATTACGAGGCAGCGGGACCTGCCTCAGAACACCCTCATCTGCTAGGTCACAGGACAGAGCGACCTGCCCCAGCTCCGACCAGTGTTGTCTTGGTAACAGCCCACAAACGGCCAATGAACCGCCCTCGATAATTCCCCAGATCTCTCTACCAGGCCTCATGCCCCCGCCTTGCTCAGGTTACAAGGCAGCACGACCCAACCCCAGCACCGACCAGCGTTATTCTGGCCTCGATCAATGGCAGGCCATTGGCAATGACAACATCAGCAAAACCATCAGATGGACCACCAAGCACCACTTCCGTCGGGATTCCATCTTACCTATGCTCACTCAACTCAACGCACTCGACTCCCCTTCAACCCCCTTACCTTACTCCAACAAGACTTATTACAGTAGAGCCACCATCTCTACCGCAGTTATTCCCTAGCTCTATCCTGCCAGCTAGCCCCTTTATCAGCAGAACGTGTAGTATCCCACCATCTCCGCCCTCTCAACCACTTGGCACTCACCCCCGTCTGTGTGACCCCTACACAACAGGGTAAGTTGGGATAACGCCCCTACAAATTACTCTGAATGTGTTCTCGCCCAACCAGCATAGCTCCAATCTCTGAAA